CTCTGCCAAAATCATCTGAGACGGGAACTTGTGTCCTGGAGGAGTGCAGTGTGCGCTCAGCGCGCCTGATGGATGCCACATTAAATCAACCTGGAGGTTGTAAACACATAGATCAAAACAGAGGTAAAATATAAGCGTCCACAGTGTGAAACTTCTTACGGGGAGCTGTCGGGTTATCTCAGTTGTCCTGTTGTGCTGAAAGGCTCGCTCTGCCCACCTCAGTTTTTGTTAGCACAGCCAGGGAAGGGAAGGCGAAATGCCAGAGGGTCTGTGCCACAGCTTTGGCTGTCCCATTGCACATCTATTCACCAGCCAGGACGAGGAGTTTGGGGCATGGTAGCTCCACACGATGGTTTCCTGCTGTGTCTTGCTGGCGAGGCTTCTGCAAGAGCCTTTTATTGCTGTTTCAGTGAGGTGAAGCACGTGAATAGCCCTCACCAGTCACCCCTTTTTATGGGTATTTCCTTGCCATGCTTCACCTCACATTAAAATGGGTGAAAATTTTGTTGGGTTTGTGTTGCTATTCAAAGTACCACAATTCCCACATGTTTCCTGACATCAAAATGAATTAGTGGAGGACGCTGCTCATTCAGTCCCATGTTCTGGTTATTTTTGGAAACCTTTTCCTTCCCGTTTCATTCCCCTAATTATTGTTCAGCTTTGACATTGTAAGGATACATCTGTAAAATGGTGAGCAGCTCGAGTCAGATGTGGGCTGTGTTGCAGTCACATAATGGAAAAAAAATGTATGAAAATGGGAACTTGGAATAAAAAATACACACGCAGTGCAGCTGCGTTGGAAATATCATTGGAGGAGCTTAAATATGAAATACTTCAACTCTCACACACTTACACGGGGTTCAGGCAAATCCATCTGGTAAAGAGGCCACAGATGGAAACATTTTGCTGGAACTTTGTGCAGCTCTCAGAAGCCTCACCTCACACCAACGCTTCCTCTTCACTGTGCAAGAGACAGAGCACCCTTTTGTATTGCCTTACCATGCCCTGTATTTATCTTTATGCTTGTCAGGATTTGCATATTGTATTATTTTACTGATGATGAAGACTGCATTTAGCTAAAATCCGGGTAGTACATCTTTGTTGCCAAAAAATGGAATATTATTTGCACCAAAAAGTCTCCAGATGTATGTCCTGCTCTGTCTTGTGGGGCTGCTGAAAGCAGCTGCCTCATGCCCATCTGTGAGGACGTTTGTGAGCAGGGAAACTTCAAAGCCAAAACTGCTGGACAAAAATGCTGAAACAGTAACAGCACCGCTCAAGAAAACCTGCCAAGGTAGGAGCCTTGAGTGAAAAAGTAACAACTGTTGCTTGCAAGGTAAGTAATTGGTGCAGTGGATCTTTGAAGTGCAAGCTGCTCTCAATTGCTAGAGACCCCGCTGAGCTTCAATGTCCTCCCCACTGCCACAGCAGGGAGGAATCGATGGGATTTGCCCAGGGCTGTGCTGCAGGCTTGGATTCTGCTTGATGGGTCCACTCCCACAAAAGGCGGCTGGCATTTCTTGTTGCTTGGCCATTTTGGAATAGGACTTCGCTCCTTGTGGCGAGGTAAAGGGTGACAGCCCTGCAAGGCCTGTGTTATGAAGTGAGGTCAGACGAATACTTGGCTTGGTGTCAACCCTGTTAGCTGACAGAATGGGATGATTCCTAGTTGCTTGCCAAAGTAACAGAGAAAAGAGTGACCCTTCTGTGCAGGCTTTGCAGAAAATGTACCTCCAGCCTCCCCACATCTGAGTGGCTTTGTTGGTGCCCACATCAGTGGCACTGCCTGTGGGCACTGTCCCTGTGAGCAGGCTCTGTCCCTGTGAGGAGGCTGGGGCTGCCAGCGGAGCAGCCATGCTGACCACAGGGAGTAGCACCAAACAGGTAACATTCAAGAACTGTTCAGTACTGCTTCAAATACCGATCTTGTGGCTGAAAGGAAAACACGAGCTCCCAAATGCAGGGGGAACAGAAGAGGGACATGTCCCTGGGTTGGCTGCTATTGAGTTAATTATGCTCTCCAATTGCATAACCTGGACACAGAAGCCAGGCCACAGGAATGTGTTTTTGTATGCTACTCCTGCTTGGTTACCGGTACTCATAAACAGCCCCACGCTCAGTGATGTGCTTTGTCACAGCCCCACTCGGTGGCAGTGCCCCTAACACAGACCTGCAGCAGCCACAGAGAAGTGGTCAAAGATTAGAGCTGCTGCAGCACAGCAAAACACTACCCTACAGGGAAACTGGGTGACACAGCTACCTCCATCCATGCACCTCAGGGACAATTTCTGGTCATGGAGCTTCAGCGTTTCCTTATCCCTACCACTGCAGAGGCAGCTTGCTGCTGTCATGGCCTTCAGTTTAACCCTCCATCCTCAGAGACTTCAGAAGAAAATAGGTAACTCTAGTACGTCCTCAAATGCAGATATACCTAGAGCTGAATTTGCCCACATCTGAGAAGCTGCTTCTCTGGGGCTTTTGTTTCAGGTCCATTTCTGGAACATTTTCAGCAAAGAGCTGCTTTTGAGGCTCCATTTTTCCACCATGGTTGGTGACACTTATTTATGGCTTACCTACTATTGCTAGAAGGGAAATGGGACTAAATCAGCATGGGATGGTAGCCTGGTGGTTTCCTGATGACAATCTGGGTTCCAAAAAAAAAATTAAAAAAAAAAAAATATCTGTTTTTCAGTTAGAAATGGAACATTATCATTTGCCCTTATTAAAATACACCCCATGCCTACCTGATGCATGTGGGGCATGGCTTGGGATTCAAGACTGCAGCTGTTGTAATCCTTACTGTGAGTTTTTGATGGCTTCCTTCTCTACTGAACAATATGGCCAAATTCAAAGCATCTGCTCAGCACTGTAGTCACCTTCAGGGATTAATTTGCAATTCCAGGTTAGGCCAATCTGTAACAAGTGTCAGTCTGCAGGCTCTGCACTGGCCAGTGCCGTTCCTCATATGAGCACTGCAGCTCCTTCCTTGTGTCCTGTGCACAACAGAGAGGCTCTGACAGCGCTGCCAAGCTTCTGTGGCCTCTGATCAAGCTCAGTGTTGTGTGTGAGTGATAGTGCCAATTTTCAGGTGATCAGTGCGAGGGCTTTTGAAAAGTCCACCTTCACTTAGCTTAGCTAGAAGCACACTTCTTAGTGTAGTCAGAAAAACCAACTGGCACAGCCATTTAATAAAGAAAGCTAATACAGAAACTGTTATCTTTGAGGGTGGCTAGCTAGAGCAGAGTGTCTCAGCAAACTGGACGAGCAGTTATTTTCTCTTCTACTGCCATGCACCATACACAGTCTTCCTGAAGCCAGCTGGCTTTATAGCATCCATTTGCTTTAATTGCCGAGTGTCACTATTTCCTGGTATTTTCCCACTTACGTATCACAAGTATTTCAGTTATTTTCTTGTATTTACCTGCTAATATCAGAAATGCTTTGAAGCACCTGTGGTAACTGAAAAGTTTCTGCAATTGGTTTAAATTAATCTGATAAGAAAAAGTACGATGAACTTGTTTAACCACATCTCCTTTTCAAAGGCTACGCAGCTGGAGCCCGTACTTACAAACATCCTCTAAGAGCATTCCAGAGCTCTAGAAAGAAGTGTGAAACTTCATTTACTCAGTGTTTAGCTTCACTTCATGCATGAACATGTCTGTGTAGTCCTGTGCTCCTATTTACACTTAGCATTTTAACAGAATTACTTAATGTCTGAGCTGGCTGTTGGTTGGCATGTCCTACACATTTCCAATGCTCTAGGACATCTGTGTGACAAAAGGTTGTATCAGGAGTTAAGCATCTTGCCGCAACCACTTACCCCTTCTCACTTCCCTTCAGCAGCAGTCGGTGCTGGCCTCTGCCACAACCAGGTCACTGGAGCGCATGGCCCTGCAGGGCGGCACTGTTAGCAGACCCCAAGTGTCATTCTCACAACTAGCAATGGCACTGGGGAAGTCATAAAGCCCCTGGAGGGGCAGAAGAGGGCGAGCAGTGCTAACAAACCCATGAAATGTCTAATACAGCATGTTCAGGCTCTCGGTCTAGGATTCTGAGGCCGAAGATGCTTGACAAAAGCTAGCAAGTCAGCTCACTTCATTATGAGTTAGAGAAGAAGTGTATGGGAAAACATCAGGATTAAGCAAAAGCAACACAAATTAGGAACTTGTGTAGGAAGAAAAGGTCTTGGGGTGGTACTGATATTTAAAAATCCACCTGTGATGAGTACAGTGACGACTCCTATACGTTACAGGCTTTATGCAGGCCTTGCTGAATGCATTTATGAAGTAGCTCCTTTACCTTGTCAAGCGTTGTACATAGTGCCATCTCACTGCTGCGTGACATCATGATCTCTAACATCATCCTGTGACAGCAGGACACAAGCAGCATCAGCACCAACAGCAACAATATTATAAAGTTTGCACACAAATATTTATACAAACTTAACTGAGCCAATAAAATGTGTAAGCAATCTATAGCAGCAGAACCAATTTCATTTTCCCATAAATATTTTTCTGTTTCAAGCAGAGCTGAGCATCATCTTTCCAATATTGTGCACCTCACGTGGGCCCTGTCAGGTCCATGAAACGGGTGTCTCTCCCTACA